CCTTGAGATGCGTAAAGAGCATTGTCTATTATTGATTATGATGTCAGATTGTGAAATTTGATGATGTCATTGATTATTTCTTTGCTACATCATAATATAAATTACACATGTGCTGAAGAGAACTGCCCTAGTTATATACATTTATTATGAGCATTACACTTAGCTTAGGCAGTCGATTAGATTAATTGGTTTATGTATTGTTTATACAAGACTTATGTATTATTATTTTGAAACTTATGTATTTATAAACTTATGTATTAGTATTATTATTATCTTAACACTAATGTGGTTTTACATTTGTAACGTCAATATAATCTAATAAAATATAACATACGTAAAAAATTATTTCAAATTAACCATGTTTGACACTACAAAGATAAAAAAATATCTCTCACAACATCTAGTTCATCTCTTATTTTACTCCAATAAACATTTAAATAATTGTATTTTTAGTCGCACTTTATATTTCACAATCTACTTCCTTGTATTTTTTACTTCTATCACAAGCAAAAATTAATTTATTACTTCTCTCTCTTTTAATGTTTTGATATTTGAACAAGTAATAATAGTAACCACTTTATACATGAAAAAATAAAAAACAATAAATAAAAAAATCCGATAACCAACATGGAAACTATTGAAAAATTCATAACCAAGCTATCCGATAAACAATATAAAAATTACCAGAAAACTTATAACAAATTAACCGATAAATATTAATATCAGATCATTTTTATGTAAATTATTCATGAATATAAAATTTAATAGAATACTTTATTGCAAGTTATTCGATAAAAATAAAATTACGCACCAAAATTCTTTAAATAAAATTCTCCAGGGGTGCAGAATTTTCCAAATTCAAAAAAAATTAATTGATAAGTAAAATAGTAGAATTGAAATATTTTGAAAAATATAACATGAGAGATAATAGTAAAGATATAAGATAAAGAAAAATATACTATTCAAACTTTCACTCATATATTATTTTATTATTCTCTTATTAATCTTGCAACAAGAAACGCAAGTTCACCATAGCGAAACCTATCTCTTTGTCTTATTGATCATCTCTACATCGAAATTGAATCATTCTTTAAAAGATATTTCTATCAAGTGTATACAAATTATATCTGTTTTATTGTTCATCACTACTTATGATATATATAGTACATGTAGCCTTGAAGTTGGCATCCAAATTTAATCATTCTTTAAAAGATATTTATATCAAGAGTGTGTATACAGATTGAATCATTCTTTAAAACAGAACAGTAAGTTCTTCAAAATGATTTTCAGATTGTTAGCGACTTAGCGTATATATAATCATATATATAATCATATTTATATCAAGAGTGTATACAAATTAAACCATTCTTCGAAACAAAAAAGTTCTTCAAAATGTTCTTTAGTTTGTTAATTATGTACTCCATCCATTTCAAAATAGTGTTACTTAAAGATTTTAGATGCATGTTAAGAAATGTAATATTGTACCATTACAAGAAAATTTTGTTTATAGATTTCAGATACATGTTAACAATTGTAATGTAATTGTACCATTACAAGAAAAGTTTGTAATATCCATTAAAATTCAGTTTAAAATTCAGACATTTTGTCATTCATCTGCATGATTGTAACTCAATTTATATAAAAATCTAAAAAAAAAAACTTCAATAAAATCTAAAGAATATTTCTATCACACTGAAATATAATGCAAGAAATTTTGTTCTAATAAGTGATAATATAAAATTATTAGGCTTAATTAATCTTAAAGTCTTTTAACTTAATTTCATATTTTAATTTAGTTCCTTATTTAATAAACGTTATATTTTAGTCCCTTAAAAACTATTCTGTTAGTCAAATTAATTTTTTTTTGTTAAATGTTGAGAGAAAAAACGTTAAGTTAGAATGATGTGGCATGACAGCATGACAAAAATTAAAATAATGAGTCAGCAATTTCATTAGGTGATTAAATTGAAACTTTATAATTAGTTTAGAACCCAGACTTGGACAATAACCAAATTGTTATTAAAGTGACCAAAATAAATTTTCATAACATTTTATCAGACCATAATCTATTATTTACCTCACCAGAATTTCATATCAACATAATCTTGAATTTAATGACATTAGTTTATAACGTTGTTACATTTCTTGATTCAAACTAAAGTCATTAAACTAAAATGACATTAAACATGTTCTAAAATGACATAAGATATACACATACACAACTGCAAAATGTGTATACAAGCACTATTACAAAAGATGTTCACAAAAGATAAACATGATTATTGTTGACACAAAACATATTTTGATCCTTTTTGGAGTCTTCTTTTCTTCTTTGGCAAGGTTAGTAAGCATTTCCTTCATTGAACTCTTGATAAAGCTCTAGGCAAGAGCAGGCTAGAAGACACTCATTGCCTTTGGGCGGCTCACATCACCATAGATGATTGGTGGCTTGACATAACGAGATCTATAGAATTGTACCCACTCATTGGCAGTAAATGCAAAGTCTAACAACTGCTCACCAAAGTACTCAACCATATATTTCCTCTGCAATAAAATAAAATCAACCATATAAGAAAATGTTTATGACACTTAAGTAAATAAAACCTATTTATGTAGATAACAAATGTACATTTTCAATATAAACTAAGAACTAAAAAAATTAACTAAAAAATCTGTTTATGTAGATAACAGATGTACATTTTCAAATATAAATTAAGAACTAAAAACTTGTGGCAAATTAGAAACAAATTTTGTGTGAGGTGAATTTCCTCTGGTGTAGTCTTCTATTTTTTGGTCAAATTGAGGTCTCAGAATAACATCATTTTCTCTGATATTACAAGAAAAGTGGTAGTCAATTTCAATAATAAAATTAAATTTGAGTAAACTTTTTAAGATGGGTGTGAACGAAATCTAACATTCTTCTAAAATCAGTGACAAATTTGGAGTAACCACATGTTTTACAATCAATTTCAAATTCTTGACAGTTGCATTTGTTGCTTACCCATGCTTACCAATGTTGTAAAGTCGATACAATTTGTGTTTGACACATCCTTTAAGATTGTATGGTCTATTGTCGGATAACACATTAAGATTGTCGGTACGAGACCAAACACATCCTTTATTTGCTTGAATTGGAATTTGTAAAGCAAGCCATAAGTAGGGCTAATATGATGTATGAAAGTTGTTATTAAGATTTAATGTTATGTTTATTGCTACTAAGATCAAATTTCAATATTTAAATTCTTTTTTATTTTCATGGTATATACGGTAACCTTAAATTGTATAGTATCTAACACACAATGTTAGAGTATATAATTATACAAATGCATGAAAAATTAAAAGAAAAATGTAGCAATGGCGTCACAAACATCAAAAACAGAGTAAAAAGAATCAATACCTTGAGAAATCGCAGAATGAAAAAACATTAATGGTTCAATGCTTCCAAAGTCCTTTAAAACAAAACATATTCGTAAGACTACCACTATTCAACTCGATGAGCACAAATGGACAAGTTTGAAGTTTAAATGCTTTATTCTACTATGAAACAAGAGAAACATGCGAAGAAAAGAGAAGCAGAATCGACGGTTTCTGAAACAAAAACTATGACAAATCCAAAATAAGATTAGATAGATTGAACAAATTAAGAAACACAAACATCTCAAGAAACACAAACACCTCAAGAAACATGTGTGATTAAAGTACCTACCTTGTATTCATCACCGAATTCAATTTCAAAAACATCACGAATAGCTTCAACAAAAGCTTGATGTCCACCACTTATACCTGAATTTTAGTCTGCCACTTGTTATTGAGTTTTAGATCTCTTCTTCAGTGCTCAAGTTCTAAGGTTTCTTTTGAGAAGAAAGAGGGAAAATGAAAAGCAACGAAGTGTAAATGAAATAATAAAATGTTTCAGCTTTTATTTTTTTTAGTTTTAAAAGTTTAAATAAATATGTAATATAACAATTTCATGTCATCCAATAAACGCCTAGTTGGAATGTCACACATCCACAAACTAACGAATGTTCACAAAATTTAACAAATAGAATCAAAATGACAAAAAAAAAGTACACTTAAGGGACTTAAAATGAACGTTTTATTAAATAAAAGACTAAACTGAAATTTAAAATTAAGTTAAGGGACCAATCAATGCATTAAGTCAAATTATTAATATACAGTCATCATTTTTATCCCGGAATTATTACTGTAGTCTTAACACATCCAAAAAAAAAAAATACTAACAATTATCTATCATAAATCTTGAGTAAAATTATCCCGGACAAATGACAAATAATAAATACAAAACATAAATGTAACATCAAAATTAAATAAAAATAAATTGAATAACAATGAGAATTAGTTTTACAAAGAGAAAGATTGATTGTGAAAAATGAATAATTTTACCCCGAGAAAGTTTTACCCTAAAGAGTAAGATTGATTATGAAAGATGATGGATAGATGATTGATAGAGAATGATTAAAGATGAAAGAAAACATTTAAGGGTCTAAAAGTTTATAATTTAAGTTGAAACAAGATGGACAATATATTATACGTAGTAGATAAAAGAACACAATTAAATTAAAAACAACTTCAAATCACCTAAATTACTAAATGAAACTTAAATTTAGAATATGATTCAAAACCTAAAGTATTAGAAAAACCATAAACAACGGACAAATAAAAAAAAGGATAAAATTGGTTTGATGACATTTGACCACATAAATGTAAAGGGCTTTCTCAATGTGCTACTCAGTAACCAAAGAGTAGTAAAATAGTCAGGTTGGTATATTTGTGGTTTGATGACATTTAAATGCTACCCAGAAAAGCAAAGTTCACTGTCTCTCTAATAGAGATAAAACTTCACTATCAGATGTCAAAACTCGAAAGTAAATTCCTCTCCCAAGTTGAGGAATGTTAGCAAAAATGTTTGACTGGCATAGAAATATTCGCCACTGTAACTAGTAATATATATCATCTGATTGTATAATTATATGCAAAATCTATGCAGCCAAATCTATGGAGACTGATGAATAATTCAACGCGCCTTGATGAGGATCCGGCACTTTCACATGTTGTAAAACATTAGTCATTTTTATACCAATTATCTGGATCTGAGAGTTTGAGTGGCCCTTCAGAAAAACATCTGTTACCTGCAGCAGTATGAAACATTTCTTCATTAAGCCTTTTCTTAATCATAGACTTACACTATTTTAAACAGTGTACATACAATCACAAATATAAGAGGGAACTATCGATACTTGAGGTCACAAGCCCGCAACAAACTAATAACGCGTTTTCAAGGCGAGGCCTTATGCAATACCTGAGTACATCCAAAAAGTTTAAGTAATCGCAGCGACAAGCAACTGTCCACTATCAAACCTAAGGCATTGTCAGTCAAATTTCGGCACCAAGATACATCTAGACTATGCAGTTTTTTTGCATGGCTTACAAGTGATAAGGTTGTGTGGTAGCCAACCTGTATTAAATCAAATAATGAAGCAGTCAGAAAGCAAAAGAACATATATATGAATGAGCAGGCCCTCAATTAAACTGATAACTGAATAAAAAAGGCAGAAATATTGAGCAGCCTCAACTATCTAAAATTATAATCAAAGCTTCCTCCATCAAGTGGGCAGGTTCTTGGGATGATAATTTCAAAAACAAAAACAAATATAGTAGCATCTTGACCCATGGAACACGGTTATAGACGGAAATATAAAATAAACTTTTACCAACAAGCAAATACATAGGATGCTTAGATTATGCTTTAAATAACCATGTGTTTTGATTTGGGAGTAGGCTTAATATATCTTTTTACAAGCACAAAGCTGCATTTCCAGCATATTAAAATGTTGGAAGTAAATGAAGTTCATCTATAAAAGTTCTAAATTATGCAATTTCGTTCATTACAAAAAATCTAAATCGTGCAATTTAGTTCATTAAAAAAAAGCTTTTGAACTAAGTATGATAAATCTTTGCCTTCATTTATCCATTTCTATACCGGAAAGTTAAAAATGCAATAATCAAATTTAATGTCTTCAAATCCTTCCTTGACCATTCATCACTAACGTGACACATCTTTAATCCACATAGAAGTGTCCAAAGAGGGTCTAAAGTATGTCGAAGTAAAGAAAACAAGTTTATTTTACACTTGTCAGACATGTGTTTGTACCTCGCAGTATCATAACTTTTATAAAAGACAACGGAGAGAGAATCAAGGAGGCAGATAAAAAAAGGTACCTTTTTGACATTATTAAGTGATAGTTCTTTCAAAGACTCTCCATTAGTCTCTACAAATGCAGCAACTGCTTCATCACTGCAATGCCAAAAAAATTAAGCTAGTTTATTCATTAATTGACGATACCAAGATTAGATGCAGTAAGAACTAACATAAGATTTGAATAGGGAATCAATTGGTAGGAGGGAATGAATAATCGCAAGAGTTTTCACAAAACAGGATAATGTATAAGATAATGTCTCAATCTCAGCAAAGCGAAAAATTAACATAATAGAGTCGCAGACAAGAACATAATAATGTCACTTATCACTTGAATATTATATGGAAAAGGTATCAACATTTTGACTTCTGAATAGTAAAACCCTAGCCCTATTAAAATCAGACTGATCACAGACGAACAGGAAAGTGCACAATAAAAAGTGGCAATAAGTAGCAAAAAATGCAGGTGTCTGGCATAAGCAAAATATAACACAGGCAAGTACAGGAAAAACAAACACCTGAATGAGTTACGGCAAAGCTTCAGTGTATGAAGTGCACGACAACCATTTGTAAGATATCCCATGGACATGTCTGTTAATTTGCAAACATTCGATAAATCAAGCCTGCATACTCCAGGACAGTGTTCAGCAATGACTTTTATTGATGCATCAGTCAAATTTCTGCATATCAAATAATATAATCAACAAGCTTAAGTGATAAACAGTTCAAAAAGACTATTTAGATTGTACATAAATACCAAATTCGGTTAATTTTTTCTCTGATTGGAAATTTATCTACCATCTTCCTAAAATGAAACTGTCTAAGTATCTTTAGAAGAGAATTTAGTCATGAAACAGACTGCTATAATGAAACTTACATGCAATCCTTCAGATTCAGCTCTTTCATGTTGTGACCACGTGCAACAATGTAATCCTTGACAAATGTGTCGCTAACAGTTGGAATGCCAGCCACCGACAACACTTCTAAATGTTCAAACTCCACCAGTGCCGGCACAATTAGTGCAGCATCAATGTCAAGGCAATGATCAAGGTACAACTCTTTCAAAAGAGATTTTAATGATTCAGCCAAAATATAAAGACTAGCAGAAGTGAGAAGGGAGCACATGCTAAGATTTATTGATCTAAGTGTTGGAGTAGAAGAAACAAGTGCACGCAATCCCCCATCTGAAAGTCGGCATGCACCTCTGAGAGATAGACTAGTTAAACTAGGCAGCAGCTTTGGGGACCGTGCTAAAGTAGCAACTACCACATAATCTGGCAAACATCGCCCACACAGATCAAGTTGCAGTACCTATTTCAAAATTGAACAGATAAATAACTAGAATCCAAATAATCAAATATTTCAAAACAAGAAAGCTAGCCAAAAGCTAATTAAATCTTCAGAGAGCAAACAGGAAATATAAAATACATAAGGTTACCCTGTAAAACTGAGAAAAAGCAAGAAACAACATTTAAGCAAAACAAATATCCACATTAAGGAGACAGTCTTAAAGAATAGTCAATGTTTTGTTTTACCTTGTAAAACTTCCGTCTCAAAATAACTGACTTAATTATAAAAAAACCAAAAAAACTGACCCAAAATGACTGACCCATTTCTATTTCAAACTTACAATAGCTAATCAGTTATAAACAATTCATCTAAAAGTGAAAATCACCTAAAACCCAAAGTTAGTCTAAATTCAATCTATTAATATCACAACAAGGGTTTCATAGCTACTACAATTTGGGCTTTACATCAAGGTGGCTAAAGTTGCAACAACTACAATATAGAGGCGGGTATTACCGAATTTAACTGTAATTGCAGTTTAAAACCCTGTTCACAACAATTCAACAAAATTACAAGAAACAATAAAAGCTATCAAACAAGTTAAAACCACCAACACATGTTTGTAAACTTATAATGGGTTTTCAGTTATAAACAATTCATCTAAAAGTGAAAATCACCTAAAACCCAAAGTTTGTCTAAATTCAATCTATTAATATCACTACAAGGGTTCCAAAGCTACTGCAATTTGGCCTTTACATCAAGGTTGTGGTATGTGGCCAATGATGTTGCTGCAACTACAATAGAGAAGGGGATTACCAAATTTAACCATAACTGCAGTTTAAAACCCTACTCTCAACAATTCAACAAAATTACAAGAAACAATAAAAGCTATCAAACATGTTAAAACCACCCACACATGTTTGTAAACTTATAATGGGTTATTCAATTGTAAAAAATTCATCTAAGACTAAAAGTGAAAATCACGCAAAACCCTAAGTTAATCTAAATTCAATCTATTAATATCACTACAAGGGTCTAAAAAGAAAAGTTCACAACTGCAATTTGGCCGATGAATCAATGTCTTTGATATCACTTCATATACAATTGAAGCTGTATTAATCATATTTAACTGTGACTGAAATTTAAAACCCTCTTCACAAATGTTCAATAAAATTACAAGAAACAACAAAAGCCATCTCAAAACCCAATTCACAACTGTTCAAAAATCACAGTAAACAATAAAAGCTATCAAACAGGTTTAAACAGCCTACCACCAAATTAGAAATGTCACTTGCTTGAAAGCACTTGGTAAAATGTTCCTCAGACAACCACGAGCAATTTCTAAGCCGAATCTCCGTGGGAGATCCACCAACAAGAAGTTCAAAAAAGTGGTCATTAATTCTCCGCGAATCACACAGCAACTGACTAAGCCTATGCCTCAAAGCATCAGGCACACTCTCAAGCGAAACAATCGCATCAACATTCTTAGCAAGAATCCGAATGCAAAGTTCCTGCAAAGACGGAACAGAAACCGCTCCATCTAACTTCTCCACATTTGTTTTTGGATTCCACTTAATCGAATCAATCAAATTCTTCTGTATAGAATCAGAGCCTGCTTGAAATTGAATCCCTTTCTTCTCTCGATCCCTAATGATTTTCATAGCAGTCGAAAATGGACCAGGCCAATCTTCAATCTCATTCTTCTCTGGTTCATTTTCCAGAGATAAATCATCAGCATCGCTTTCGTCATTTACAAAATGAGCAAAACGAGACGCGTTCTCTCTAGCTATATTTCGAAATCGTTCCAGGTTCCTCCTTAAACCACGTTCCTCCCTGTTGTTAGAATTTATAGATTGTTCTGTAACATTCAATGCATCATTTCTCTCTTCAGTTGTGTTCTCGATTGCAGATACTTCGTTGTTTACATTTTCACCAACAACAACTTCGGTGTTTTCATTTTCATCAACAACAACGGTTTCCTTCCCTTTCTCTTCTCTTCTTTTACTCGATTCCCCTTCATCGTTTATTTTGTTCTTCTTTATAGCGTTGTTTTCAGAACCATCTTCATCTCCGTTTGCAATACTGATTCCACGTTTAACAACTCTTTTACCTGATCGCAAGTTAACGGAACTTTCAACTGCTTGATTAGGTTTGGATTCCAAAGCGGTTGAAATTTTTGATCTGGAAACCCTAGCGGTGGGTTTGGGGGTTGATTCGGTTGAGGATTGGGAAGGTTCGGAGATGGAAATAGAGGCGAGGCGGAGACTGCGTCTTCGCGGCGGGGCGGAGGAGGAAACGGGAGGAGATTCGGTGGTTTGAGTGGGGGTGAGAGGGTGAATGTGGTTGGGTTTCGAGGGTTTAGGGGTTGTTTTGGTTGGTGGAGCCATATTTCTGGAGTGAAGGGAGAAAAAGAAGAGTAGGGTTTGGAAACGGGAGTGGGTTTGGAATGAGAGTGAAACGAAGGGATTTGGAGGGAAAAGGGGAGAATGAGTATTTATTGTGGAGGGAAAGGGATAGCGAAGGGTATAATGGGGAATCATGTGTAGTTTGCACTACATTGAAGTAACCGACATTGTAAATAAATAGTGGAGAGATGTACAGTGTCAGTAAGTAAGACGACGGATGAGAAACTTACTTCGCACACTTTTGGGTCCATGAGAAAGAAAATAATAATAATAATAATAATAATAAATAATGTTAATTATTTTTAAAGAATAAAAGTATTTTTTTTGTTACATGAGAAAAAAATTACTGGTTGCGATTAAGTAACCTCCATGTTCACCGTAGGCAGCAAATGAAAATTTGATAAAGGGTCAATAAACTCTGTTTTAAGTTTGACTAAATAGTCAGCGCACATATTTTTATCCCTAAGAATGTGAGAGAGTTGGAATGTTGAATCCTTAACCATGTACTTTTTAATAGTGGTTATCTCATTTTCATAGTTATGAATGGAAACATCTGCATACTTTACTAGGTGAATAATATATGCATGAAATCTGTATAGCACACATTCTCTTTCAAATCTTCCTTCCAACAAATTTGAATCCCTTGCATCTTGAATCTCATGCATCAATGCTATTTTTTTTTTGCATGAAAAATATTAGAGTAACTAATATTACTATCAAAACTATGCACAAATTCTCCATCAAAGTTTCTAATTAGCCCACCAAAGCTTGTCATCCTCAAATTTGATGAATAATAACAATTTATGATCACTTTAATTAATGCATTCCATCTTTTTCTTTCTCATTTTTATTTATGAAAATTTTCAATTCATAAAGAAGAAAATTTTTGTCTTGACCCTGATAAGTGAATTGTATATTATTTTTTAAATTTTTCAACATATTAAAGATCATGTTAATCTAACATCTAGAACTTTAGATATGACCAAAACAAAGGAGATGGACCAACAAATATGAAAATGCTTAGTTATTATAAAATAAATTTATAAATAATATAAAATATTCATTTTATTTGAAACATTTTTTATGTTTCCTTCTGCATGCTCAGTGAATTTTTGATCTTGTCATTACCACTTGATGGTTGACCAAATTGATATTCGGTTATTTCTATCATACTTTGTTATTTGTATGAAACTTGTGATTTTAAGGTGATATGATAGATTTGGACTCACAAAATTCTATGAAGTATTGGAGTTAGGACAAAATTGAAACTAACTAAATTTAAGAAAGAAGATGATGAAAAAGAATAGAAATGAGGCACCACATGTAAGACCCCAAATATACCCCGCGTATTTTAAATAAATATTAAAGAAAATTTTAAGCAATCATATTTATGATGTAATACAATACCACAAATCAATTGCTCATATAACATGATATGTAATAATCAATAAAAAAAAATTCATATCAACTAAAACAATCAATCATGTCTGAAAACATCAAACTTTTATTGAAACAGCGGAAGCATCGAAATCAAATGAGTATTCATGACATAACTATGTTTTCAAAATAAATATAAGCAACTATAAATCCATAGATATCCAAAAAATCTCAGTCAAACACAAAAGTCACAACGTTTCAAAACCTCGGTGTTACACATCAGAGTTGACACCGACACTAAAGGTAAACCAGAAGACTTCATGTTCCACTCACTTTAACTCCTCTACTGCGAGTTATTTGCACGATACTCATGTAAAGACAACATTTAAACAGAAGAGGTGAGATATCATAATTATATAAAGGAAAGCATGATAATAAGCAAGCATTAGATTATCACATGCATATCACCCATTCCATAACATACATCCACACAACCAACACAACAAAATTCCAAACACAACAACAAATACAATCAAGATGCAGTGCATTAAGACTTATGACTCGACTCAATCCATGTGGTAGCATTCGGTTCCTATTTCAGAATTTGATTCCTATTTCAGAATTACAATTCCCGTCAGAATTTTCATCATATCGCTCACACCTCACACGGGCATACGACTTTCATGATCGTTCACATCCCACACAGACACACGACCTCCGTGATTGCTCACACCTCACACGGGCACACGACTTCCATGATAGCTCACACCACACATGTGTTGGAAATTCACCTCACACCCTATGAAGAATTCCCTTCAATCTTGATCTCAAGATTGATGAACAAACCCACAATATGATAGTAATGGTAATAACAAGTAATTATCAAGAAGAACAAACAAGAAAGAGAAGAATGAGAGAAGAAATATTTGGAGAGAATGTGTTACCCACAACTGTAGAATTTCTTATTGCTTATAGAACTTTCACTTGCTCAAACTGCAACTGTGAAATCGGTTATATGTTGTAATTGAATACAAAGCAAGGCACCCTATTTATAGTTTTAGGTTTACAAAAGCCCAAAACATAAAAGGCCCAAAATATTCAAATCAAATCAAAACAATGAATTAAATTTAACACACCACCTAATTCATTGTGTCTAAACTGTCTACATTCATCATGGCTCTTAGTCTTTTGAAGGCTTCGACCTGCACTCCCTTCGTCATGATATCAGCAATCTGATTCTCAGTTCTGCAGTGTTCCAACTTCATTTTTTCTTCTGCTACATGCTCTCGGAGATATTGGAATCTCATTTCGATGTGCTTGCTTCGACCATGAGCTATTGTATTCTTTGCCAAGTTGATAGCTGACATGCTATTTATCTTCATGGTAATTGCTCCATGATTCTTCCCTGTGATTTCTTCGACCAAGTTCACCATCCAAGTTGCTTCACATGATGACAATGCCACTACTGGTTCCTTTCTCGAATTCCAAGCAACTGGTGCACCACCTAACATAAACACATAACCAGCTGTGGATTTTCGATCCTCGGCATCACTACACCAACTGGAGTTTGTGTATCCCACTAACTTGCATTCATTTCCTTCATCAGCTGCTGGAAACAAAATACCATAGTCGAGAGTTCCTTTCAGATACCTCAGTATCCTCTTCGCCGGGTCTAGGTGTGATACCTTTGGCTTCTGCATGAATCTACTTACCATACCAACACTGTATGCTAAGTCAGGCCTTGTGTGACAAAGGTATCTAAGTGACCCAATAAATCTTCTGTATTGGGTTAGGTCGACATCATCTTCATCTGAATCCTTCGACAGTTGCAATCTGGGCTCAGCTGGAGTCGAAGTTTGGTTGCAATCTTGCATCTCAAATCTCTTGAGTATTTCGCCTGTATATCTTCTTTGGTGCATCATCAAACCTCTACTTGTCTTGTAGAATTCGATGCCAAGGAAATATGAGAGATCTCTTGAGTCTGACATTTCAAACTCCTCACTCAGGTCATGTTTGAAATCTTCGATCTCCTTCTTGCAACTCCCTGTTATCAACAAATCATCAACATAGAGACATAGTATAAGCAATTCTCCATTGCTTCTTCTTACATATACTCCATGCTCAGTTGTACACTTCACAAATTCCTTCTCCCTTAAGAAGCTGTCGATTTTCTTATTCCAAGCTCTTGGAGCTTGCTTAAGTCCATACAGGGCTTTATGAAGCCTGTACACCTTTCTTTCTTCGCCTTGTTTCACAAACCCAGCTGGTTGTGCAACATAAACTTCTTCGTCTAAGGGGCCATTAAGGAATGCACACTTTACGTCCATCTGACATGTGTGCCAGTTGTTCATATTTGCTAGACCAACAACCAATCTGATTGTTTCGATTCTAGCAACAGGTGTGAATACTTCACCGAAGTCGATTCCTTCCTTCTGAAGAAATCCTTTCGCCACAAGTCTCGCCTTGTGTCGAGTTACTTCTCCTTTAGGATTTACATTTACCTTATAAACCCACTTCACATCAATTGTCTTCTTGCCCTGCGGCAATTCAACAAGTGACCAGGTATCATTGACTTCGATGGACTCCAACTCTTCAATCATTGCTTTCATCCACTTCGAATCTTTCAATGCCTCAGCTGCATTGACTGGTTCGACATCTGCGTAGAAAGCATAATGTACCAACTCACCCTCTTCATCGACTGCATCATCTGATGTAAGTACACATTCTTGCAAGCTTGCAGGCATGTGTCTTGTTCGTCGAGGTCTGCTTGAACCTGCTTCATCTGCAACTGGTTCCTGTCGAACTTCTATTTCGACTTTAGTGGCTGGTTCTTCACAAGAAATTCTCACTGAATCCTTCTTGGCATTCTCAGTCCAATCCCATTCTTTAAGCTCATCTATGATCACGTCCCTGCTGATCACTACCTGCTTATTCACTGGGTCGAACAACTTGTAACCTCATGTCGAATGATATCCTATCAAGATCATCTGATTCGACTTATCATCAAGCTTCCTTCTCAACTGATCTGGCACATGTCTATGTGCTATAGATCCAAACACCTTCAAGTGACTGAGACTAGGCTTGACACCAGACCAACATTCTTCTGGTGTAATTCCTTCAAGCTTCTTCGTCGGACATCTATTCAATATATATGTTGCTGTCGAAACTGCTTCTCCCCATAACTCTTTAGGTAGATGCTTTCCATTCAACATATTTCTCACCATATTCATAATGGTTCTGTTCTTGCGTTCTGCAATCCCATTTTGCTGTGGAGTGTTAGGCGGCACCATCTCATGCACAATCCCTTCTTTTACACATAGTGTATCGAACTCTTTCGACACATACTCTCCACCACCATCAGTCCTCAGAATTTTCAGTTTTCGGCCACTTTGTCTTTCGACCATGGACTTGAATCTGGAAAATACCTCAATCACATCACTTTTCTTCTTGATGAGGTAAGTCCACAACTTTCGACTGTAATCATCTATAAACGTGACAAAGTATTTATTACCACCAATCGAATCCACCTGGATTGGACCACATACATCAGAGTATATGACTTCAAGTATTGCCTTCGACTTCCTTCCTGCATCCTTGCTGAAGCTATTCTTGTGTTGTTTCGACTGAACACACTCCTCACAGACTTCACTTGGAATGTCGATTTCTGGTAATCCTGAAACCATATTTCTTCTCTTCAGTTCTCTGATGTCATTAAAGTTGAGATGACATAGTCGAAAATGCCATACCACTCATCTCTGCTGGCTGCAGTTGCTAGACATCTGTGCTCCATCACATTGAGTCCAATCTTGAAGGTCCTATTCTGAGACATTGGAGCCTTCAAGATTAATCTACCACCTGCGTCGAGAACTCTCATCATCTTGTCTTCGACAACTACCTTGTAGTTCTTTTCGACAAGCTGCCCTATACTGAGCAAATTACTCTTCATGCCTGGTATGTACAACACATTGGAAATTGTTGACCTTTTGCCATCTTTCCTCATAATCAGAACATCACCAACACCTTCAACTGCTAGAGTGTTGTCATTTGAAAACTTCACTATGTTCTTCGACGAGGGCTTCATGTTGACAAACCAATCTTTCCTTCCAGTCATGTGTGATGAGCATCCTGAGTCCAAGTACCACTGATCTTGGAATCTTTCTTCATCTCTTGTTGTGACCATTAGCAACGTTTCTTCTTCTTCATGTTTCGCCAGCTTTGCATCAGTCTCTTGATTTCTCTTCCTTTCTGGACAATCACTAAAATAATGACCATACTTTTGGCAATTGAAACATTGAATGTGGCTTTTGTCTGTCTTTCGACCACCGCCTCTTCCTTTACCTGCATCACCACCTCTTTGGTTGCCTTGGTTCCAAGGTTTCTTCTGATTCGACTGGTTTCCTCCTTTGTTGCCATTCCAGCTACCTCTTTGGTTGCACAAGGATATAATCAACAATAAGGAAGAACCCATTCGTCTCTTAATATCCTTTGCAGTTAACTATGACATTGTTTATATTGAATGGACGTTAACCGTGATTTTATGAACGGATACATAACATAAGAAGTGTGTGTTCATCAACCTCGTGGGTTTGAAATTCATAAAAATCTTGATTTTATCTACAAACTTAAGAAATCTTTGTATGGTCTGAAACAAGCTCTCAAGCTTGATATGAAAGACATATAAACTTTCTTTTAAAAAATGGTTTTACCAGAGGAAAGGTTGACACAACTTTGCTATACAAATTATACAAAAATCATATTTTAACAGTCCAGATTTATGTTGATAACGTTATATTCAGTTATGCTAATGTTGTTCTTTGTCAAGAATTCTCTAATTCTATGCAAGCACAATTCAAAATGAGCATGATGGAAGAATTAAAATACTTTATGGAAATACAAATCAATCAAGATCCAGAAAGAAATTATATTCATCAGAACAAGTATACAAAAGAACTTTTGAAGAAGTTTGATATGGTTGATAGCAAACCAACCAAGTCTCCAATGCATTCAACTTGCACTCTAGGAAAGGATGAACAAAGTAAAAAGGTAGAACAAAAGGTATACAAGGTATGATTGGTTATCTCCTATACTTAACTAGGGTATGATTGGTTATCTCCTATACTTAACTGTTTCTAGACATGATATCTTATTTAGTATATGTTTGTGTGCCATATTCCAATTAGATCTTAAAGAATTCCACTTAATACCTGCAGACAATGACCCCTCGCAATTCTTTCAAGTTTCCCTTGCATCAAAGTAAATTCCTAGATATCAAAACAAAGCTATGGTATTGAAATCAATTCTCTTTGGTGTCGAAAGCCAAATCTCTCATTAGTATTGAAACAATTTGCTCTGATGTAAAACCAATTCACTTTAGCATCTAGACTATTTTCTCTTATATTAAATTAGACTCTCGATGCCAATTGCAACTCACTTGGTTTTCTATGATGTAAGATATAAATATATACACTAATGGACAAGATAAAAGTGAATTGATTGTATTGAATTACGACTAAAAAAAATAACTTGTTGGTCAAGTAACCAACTCAACTAATTGACTTAGACCATCTCGAACAAGAGGATGGTTGTCTTGGTTTGCTAGTTGGTAGAGTTAAGTATATATTTTGGTATTGAAATGAAGGATTCAAGTTTAGATAATAGGAAGAAAACGATGTTGCACCGAGGCGTCTATAGAACAAATTGATACATTTATTAGTCTCAAATTGTTAGGGAATTAGAGTAACCATCTATCTATTTATACCACGAGGAAGCGTTGCAAGATGAAAAATATGTCAATGTTAGGTCTTGCTAATAAAATCTAGATGTAGATAGTAAATTACTTTTTAATACTAACCAATTACTACTTCGTTTGAAATTATGTTAAGATTTACAAGTTTTGATTAAAATAACATAACTTTTTTTATACAATAATTGATAACATATTTAGCAGATTTATTTACACAGAAATTGAATAACTGTCTAACAAGTAAACTGAATTTGAATAAAAGCTACAATTGCTTGCTTGTTCAACCCAGAAAATCACAATTTATAATGCCACCTTAAAATTGATAGAAAATTCAAATCATCAATGCATTGACTATTCGGCTTGCTGCACAAGTAGGTTTAGCTTGATGCACAAGAATATTCAGCAACCATAACAACAATGCAGACACAAATACAAAAAAAGTGGCTAAAGATTTTCCATTTAGCAAGTTATATTACAAGGGCATGATAATGAGCCCACACAAAAAATATACCCGACCTTCCATTGTCTAACCTCTCCAAAATGAAAGAGAAGGAAAATGAAAAACACTATCACTGTATAATAGAATCAACAAGGTCCTCAAGAGGTGCTAGCTCCGCTTTTTCGATCAACCGGAATTCCTACAACACAAGAAACTATGTATCTCAGATGATAAATTCAAGTTGAATTTGAAAACACGCTTTCAGTTATTGCAATTGAATGATATTTGTAACATCTTACTTACCCAAGTAAATAAAACAAAATGCTTGAAGCAAGTATTCAGGTGAGCTTCCTCCTTCAAACTTACAATCTTCTGAAAATGTGAGTGATAAATATGAGCATATACGCGGAATAATCGCTTAAATATTGTCTTGACAACATCTCTGAAATTGGGTGGAAAAGGAGCCCCTGCAAAAAAAAATCAATTAAAGCGGTAAGGTAAGACGTCAAATATATAGTTAGAAAGAAATTAATCAAGGATTTTATGTGGCCGGCCCACCAGATTTGTCGAAATGTGAACATACCTAATCTTTGAGGGAATATTGTTTCATCATCTAGTTGAGATTCAATCCAATCCATCAAATACTCGACATACTTTGGAGCAGATACCTCTATTGGTTTTTTTATAGTAACGCCGTCAGCCCATCGATACTCGTACCTGTAGATTACGTTACATTAAATACTTGTCGCATATAAACGTTTTTATCTCGATTTAAGTATATACGACACTTGATTAAATAGACACTAAAAAACAAAGGAAGATTGACATAGAAAATGTGAAACCGGTTTAATCTCAACTCTCGTCGAAAAGGTCGAAAATATTAACAGGAACTAAACTTCGTAATAACTTTTAGCAGGCAGGTTTTACTTAACATATCGGTATGTCATATTCGCTAAAATCAGTATCGGTATTTCCTAAAACCAATTGAAGTTACATAAATTGCAGACAAGCCAGAAAGAGAAACACGAATCAGCTAATCTGATATTAACATAAATCCAACATTGCAATGAAAGTAAAATAAGAAGAGTTTTTTGAAGGATCAAACCATACTTTGGTCCTGCAGTCATTGTAGGACAGTTACTCGGCGTGCAGAATTCAGTCAACGTACCAAACATGATATTCACTTGATTAAAGAAGTCCACGGCTGCGAATAAAAACAACAAAACCCATTAATGGGCCCTGAGATAAAAACTATACACAATTTAGAAGTGACATGCTAGTTATAAGTGGTGTTGTCAGTCGCGGAAAATAGAGTTTGTTCAAATTCCGCTACGCAACAGTGCTATAGTAACTATTTAACAACAATTGGTATTAAATAGCATATTGCGCAACAATGGTGATTTTTTCAAATTCCACTACGTCAGTGTTGTCGATGGTGGATGGCAGTCCATGGCGGAGAGCCAAAATCCCGCCATACCGGCCGCTTAGCGGCGCCGGTATTGGGGCTTATGGAGGAAAAACCAGCTATAGCGGCCGATATTTACCATTGCGGCGAGCCAAAAAACCGCCATGTATATCGGTCATAGGAGCCATGGCGCCCCAATTTGATAACACTGCTCTACGTTATAGCGATTAGCGCCACAATTTGATAACACTGCACTACGTTATAGCGATTAGCGCCGCAATTTGATAACACTGCACTACGTTATAGTGATTAGCGCCGCAATTTGATAACACTGCACTATGTTATAGCGATTAGCGCCGCTATTACCAACTTTGATCACAAGTGACTTAAGAAATCGAACACTAATTGCCAGAAACTGAATTGATTAAAGATTCTTACTGTTTACAGCTAGCCACTCATTGATATCTTCACCAGGAGGGAGTTTAACAGCTTCCCTCAGGTTCCCACTACCCAATGTAGCATCAATGTGTTTTTGAAGTTGAGCACCCTACATTTCACAAACAAAATAAATAAAAAACTTATTATTCATATGATCAAATATGAACCACAAAAGAGATAAAGTAGACAGAATTCTTAAACCACTGCACAATAAGCAAAATGACCAACCTTACTTCCGGTGGGAGCACTCTTTTTTGGACGAAATGTTTTTTGGTTTCTGCATGAATCAAACATCAAATTCTAGTTATGCTTAACTCTTCGTCAACAGAAACCAAACGAAAGTATACCATGCTAATAGCCCCAAAGAAATAAGCAAATAATTAAATCAAACGATTTATCTCCATAACAAAAAAGTTGCAGATAGGAGCAAATTTATAATACTTCAAATTTCTTTCAACCATAATTGTGAAATGTTTAATGTTAAAAGGGAGGTTTACACCGAAATTTAGTGATCAACTAACTTTTGCAAGAATTTATTCAAACATAAATCATTTTATCTTCAACTCACTTTTAATCAGAATCAATTTTTTCACCGTAGAACCAATTGCATCCTACAAACATTACAAAATGAAGTTCCTTCCTATATCCAATTTCCCAAAACCAAAATACAAATTTCAAAAATACCAATAAAACAGTAAAAACTTTAACAACATAATATTCACCATCATCATCATCATAATCCAAAATTTTTAAGCTACCAATACATCAAAGAATCAACAAAAAAGAATCATCAAATTCAAAATCAACCTTGTAAGCCACCTTATAATCTCACAAATTCCAACGCTAGTCTTTCAATTCAACAATAATCATATCCTTCCTATTCATATTTCCATTCAATTTGAATTCCTAATCCTAAATCTCACAATCAATTCCAGTTTTTCCAAATTAAAATTGCTATAGCACAAAGCAAATCATGAATTGAACAAAAGAAATAGATAATTGATTAATCATATGAAGAATTTGGAAAGGAAGAATTTGAAAGGGGAAGAAGAAGAACCTGCTTCCAAGACCGAAGAGACTCATGGTGGCGAAATCTCAAGGGTCTTCGATTCTAGAAGATGGATCCAGAGGCTCCTCTTATGAGAAAATAAATAAATAAAAATAAAAAAAGAATGTATGAAATTAGAGGTTTATATATTATATATAGAAGAGAGAAAGAAGAAAGAGAGGGAAGGGAGAGAGGATGGTTAACCTGACAGACTGTCATTACCTCCGTCTCTTTCTCTCTCTAAAAACAGTAAGAGAGAGAAACCAAAATACAAAATCTCCATTTGACAACCTGCACTTTGCTTACCTGGACGATTCTCTTCATTCATTCTCATCAATTTCTAACTTTTCTTTTTTTAGTTTTAATTCGTAAATTCATTTTAAATCATCAATTTCTACCCTTTTTTTTTAATAGAAAAATCTAATATTCTCTCCACGTAATTCTAAAGATTAATGCATTCGATCACAATGGATAACACTTTCTTTTAAAGTTTAACCGTCTGAATTCAGACATTTGATTAAACTAGAAGAAATTTTTCTTATTGCATTTTAATTATCAAATTATACATGTATTTTTTTAAATTGAGTATTCTCTATCTAGAATTGTAAAGAGTATTCTATGGAATTGTGTAACATTATAATAAGTGATAAAACTTTTTGTTAAAGATTTTAATCAGAAATGTGTTCGAATTAGGAGCTCTAACGAAAGAAAGCATTTGTGCTTATTTTTTAATTCAATTTTTATTTTTATATAGAATGTAAATATACTAACAGATTTTGAGTTTAAAGATAATAGACAAATAGCGTAAAACAATGTTATAGATGTAATTAATTAAAATTTTTAAATTTATTATTTCATAAACGTATTTTAAAAATAAATTGTTATTTGACGGGATACATTCTTTTTATTAATTTACATTTTAAAAATATTTTAAACAAGTCAATACATATTTTTTTTTCATATATCTTTTAAATGATATTTTCCAATATATATTTTTTTTTACAATAACGCATAAACATAAATAACGATTATTCTTAAAAATTAAACTATAAATTAATAGATTATATCAATTTAATTCAACTGATAAAATTTATTTATATACATTAACAAATAATATAATTATTTAATAAAAAATATATAATTCAATCAAATAACACAATATAATAAAAAAAGATATAGTTCAATCGAATCACATAATATAATGGTATTATTTGTTTAAATTAATTCTTAAAATATATTATTAATAAGTGTGTTTTAATTTTGATAATTTATATAGATATTATAGGCTAGTTTTTTTTTTTAATTAGACTTTATAAAATGCACGATTTTTCTGTATTCACAAAAAAAGGAAAATACGAAGAGATTTATAAATAAATTTAATTTAATGATGGTTAATGGAAGGTGTGTGCTTTTGTCTTTAAGAAAATTTTAGGGTGGCTTTATGATATCCACAAAAATAAACAAGGTTGGTAGTGGTGGTGGCTTAGTAATAAATACCTTTTATTTTAAGAGTCTTAAAATATTCCTTTAATCGAGTGCACTTTTTAAAAATAAATTATGTTAAAATTTATTTGTGTCATTTATGTATCTCCATCTAAATATTAAAATTTGATTTAATATTTATTTAAAGTTTATACAACCAAAGCTCTTCTATTTGTGTCATTTTAAATTATGTTAACATATTTTGTTATCGCGAAAAAATAACTATATTTTTTTGGTAAACAATCTTTTAAATTTATTATTGGAAGAGAAGTAAATAATTATATATAACTATTTTTTTTCTCTAAAAAGTCCCTTAATAAATTTCAGAAAAAGAAATAATTTAATAAAAATAAAATTGTCTATTATTTCATTTTTTGACAAGGATTATTTTTCTTATATTGTATAAACAACAATAAACTTGACATATTAAAAGGAAACATAAATAGTAATACTAAATTTAGAAAATTCGTCGCTAAGAAAAGATTTCCCATGCGGTCAAACATTTTTCTCATTGCTTCCTTTGGTGTACTATCGGTTTAGATTATTTTTATAATAAAAATAGATTTGTCGCATATTTCTTTGTCAATTTAGTAACTTTTCTAAGTTTTGAATTTAGAAAATTTCATGTTTCGGATAGGATTGAATAATGTGATCAGAATTATATTGAAGGATTTCTCTGTCATTCGATCATTCACAACTCGGTGCCAACTAATAGTATTTGAAGTCAGAATAATTGTATATTAATTGTATATTTCTTTGAATTCGAATGAGTTCTTAACTTTTTAGGGTAGTTTGTGTATCATCATGTTTTTTTTCGAAAAATAAATGTCATGCAAGAATCCAAATGTTATTATGATATATGTTTCTCACTATATATAGCACCCTTACACTAATTATAAAAATGGAAATGCTTACTAATATATTCATAGTATTGTTAAGAGGTTAAAAAGGTAAAAGATTAAAAAGATATATATTTCTTTAAAATATATATATATATATATATATATATATATATATATATATATATATATATATATATATATATATATATATATATATATATATATATATATATATATATATATATATATATATATATATATATATATATATATATATATATATATATATATATATATATATATATATATATATATATATATATATATATATATATATATATATATATATATATATATATATATATATATATATATATATATAATGTAATGTAATGAAAACAAACTTTTTTAAAAAAATATATTATATGTATTTAATACATTGAATATAAAATATTTTATTTATTTGAAATTCTTAACTAATCCTCCGAGAGCACGGGTTAACATTATCCTTAACCAATTTTCTTTATAATGTTATAAATTTATGAACATTCAATGTTCATATGTGTATATGTGTGTTTGAAAATGATAAGAAAAATGGAATGATGTAACTGCTAAAAAAAATGTAAGGAAAATAGTCTCACATAGAAAGATTTACTCACATTCAAAACATTTATAAAAAGTTAAGAACATTAACTCAACAAAAGGATAAAAGTGTCACACGGACAAATGCGGTGGTCTCAAGCATTATGTCGTTTGTCTCATCCATACACCCCTCGTCGGTGTCGCGATCGACGACACCGACTCTAGCTCTGGGTCTGAGGGCGTGGGCGCAGAGGTGTCTTGTAGGCAACACTCGACCACTTAGGCATGACGCATCGGAGCAATAAGGCTACTCGCGGCGTCGGTGGCATCCTGACGGGCGGCAACGCTATTGCTCTTGTTTTGGTCGATGCATGCGTTTGAATTTTTGAATTCGAAGAGAAGCACACTTCGTGAAGTGTTACTGCGGAATGAAAATAGGCAATGCTTGGATACAATGTAACTTTTAGTTAAAAGGTGTTGTTTTATCAAGGTCACAACCTTGTGAAACAACACATACATGACCTATAAATACGTCATTTCAGAATTTAGAAAACACATCACAAACCGAATATCCTCTTGAACAAATTCCAAACTTTCTTCCCTATAAATCGAGTTTTCGCTGGCCTTACGCAAATTCGATATATGGTTGAATTATCTTGGGTATTTCTGCGCTCCAACTCTAAGGCATATTTGAGAGTGCTTGAAATACTTATAAGGAAAGTGATTTCGTTCATGATTCAGTCCTAAATCCATTCAACTTTACCAATATTTCTAATAGTCTTAAAAATATTCAAATAATGGCTTCCGACGCTGAAATTTCAAGCATCATGGTTATGAACCAAGACATTGTAAAGTTGGAACGATTTGATGGAACCAACTACACTCAATGGCAAGATAAGATGACATTCCTACTAACCGCGACTGATTCTGTTTGGAGTCTTCGACAACCTGCTTTTCCTTACCCTTGGCAGCAACATCACTATTAGTATATGGAGAAATCTGTGGAGAGAAAACCCGACCACTGCGTGTAATTCGTCCGACATCTACAACATTATCAACATTGGATTAAATATTAAAAGGACTATCAATCTCTTGTTTTTGACCATGATAAAACACATTTCCCCCATAATTCCATGGAACAACTTTGGTACTTTCGTAAGGCACTAGTTTGGGTCTTGTGAAAATAACCGGAGCTTGTTTTGTAGGTGCTGAGATATGAACGGTAGTACATGGAATGGTATTAGCTCTCAATTTCGACGCTAGTGGAATTCAGAATTCTCTTAAGTTAGAATGTCATTCTAAAAACATATGAATGCTTCGACACAACTATGAGGAAATCCAAGTCGAAGAAAGGTGGACAAAGTTTCTAAAAAAATGCTAAGTGTTGAAGAAGCTCTCGACCAAGATCGTGTTGAAGCAAACGCAAGGCAGTTACCGTTAAAATTGGAGGGAATTCTTAAGGTCTAAATTCAAAGTGATAGTGGGCGAACGTGGGAGCAGTTGAGGCTGTGGAAAAGCGCCAAAAAGGACACATTGTGAAGTCTTAACTGTCATTTAGTAGTTACTTTCTAGCACTATAAATAGTTGTTATTTTTATGGAATAAGGGTGTTCATTCATCTTGTACTAGTCACTCCAAACCACTCAAAGTACCCGCGTGTAGAGAAACGAGTTAGCGAGAATGTACGTGATACAACACCAACCCCTTGTCATTAATGCAATTTACTTGTCTTTACCATTTATGCGCTTTTACCCCTTCTGCACTTTAACCTTCAACTCTTACGTTTAAAATGCCTTTTCTCAAGCCCTTTTGCAAACTTACTTTCATTTACTTTTGACGCAAATTTAAACATTCTGCACTTACTTTCAAGCTCTTTAATTTCAAAGTCTTTTAATTGCCTTCGACCTTTATCTTCCTGCACCTTTACTTTCAAAGTCATTTATCTTTAAATTCATTTACTTTATGAAGATTTCATAGTCGAACGCGTAGTTCAGATTATAATCTTTTGCATATTTACATTACTGCAGTTATTTTCAAAGTCATTTACTTTCAAAAGTCATTTACATTCCTGCATTTTACCTTCGACTTTAATTTTCAAAGCTTTTACGTTATTTGCACTTTTTACGTTAT